TATTGAATGCATTATTTATTACGTAAGGAATTTATTTTAATTTGATATTAGATTTGTAAATATAAAAAGTGTATTTCAAAAGTTCAGTTTCTTTGAGGAAAGACAATTTCTTTGGCCGATTTGGAAGACTATTCCTGTTTGTCTCTATTGCGTGCAGTGCTCGGCAATGGTTGCAGTAGGCCTACGAGTGATTGTGTATTAGTTCTCGCAGTGCTTGTTCGTGTAGTCGTTTTCCGTCGGTACGCGTAGCCGTGTTTGTGTGAGTATTCGAACTACAATTAGTTTTTGTGATAGGTTATATGTGTCATCGCACTTGCTGCTTGAGAACTGGGGCAGACAAATCTGCTTCCTCAACAAAGTATGAATCTCTTCAGAGTTTGTGCAAATTTTTTTGTGTTTTTTAGGGTTCGTGATGATTAGGTATGTTCAATATTTATTTTCCAGATATTAGACAAGTATTCAAAAAACTAATTTAATAAAAATTGATCATCTGTCTTGAAAGTGTGGAGTCGGTTTCCCTGTGATCATATATTTGCATTTCGTGACAATTTATTTTCATTACTAGAATATAATATCAGTTCACGTTCTATTGCAGAAATAATAGAAATTATTAGACCTGTAAAAGCTATTCCAACTGTTCAATTTTTAAAAGACAAAATGTAAAATCAGTATAATGAGCAATTATAGAAAAATCAAGAATCCGTTTTATAAAGTGGTGATATGGGTATGATTGGAAAATAAATTTGTTGTGTTTTCCCTGTAAATTGTTTGGAGGCGAGAATACGTAAACAAAGAATGGGTTTAAAGAATAACGAATAGTATTGGGAATCTCTTCTATTCGATGTTTAACGATGTAAAATTTTAAGAAGGAACATGAATAATCTCGATCATGAATAAAAACAATTTGCAGTTATCATAATGCAGTTAACCATTTGCAGTTAACCATTTGCAGTTAACCATTTGTCTAATTTTACTATTTCCGTCATTCAGGTTACATTAACATAGGTTATATTATTAAGGTGTTGAAGAGGATCGTAGGTTATTTCAATTCAGGGCATTTTAAGGAATGGTGACATGTCTGATGGGTTTTTTTCGTTGAAGGCGTTTTTGATGGGTTATTTTATTTCAGAGTACTGCTCGGCGAATGGTTATTTGTTAAGGTGAAAGTAGTATTGCGTGTGATGTGTATGAGTGGTGGGAATAAGATATTTTTTTTTAAAATAACTGAAACATTCAGCAGAATTACCAGTCATTGAAGACGTATATGAAGTCAGTTATTCATGTGTTAGCTTTTCTTAGTGCTGATTGTCCTGATGTGACAGAGGGTGAATGTGTCAAGAGGATGACGTTTCGTATCTGTGTGGGGTTGTTCGATTGAAGATGTGGCGATGTGGTTTAACGGAAAGAGAAAAGGAACGTTTGTTCTTTGAGTATCGCAGCCGTGTCCTTCAAGTTTTGTATGTCTCTGTCGCAAGTCAGTTAACGTGTTGAATGTTAATATCAAGGTACCAGCTGACAGGTGCAAGCCTGTAAGTCAGTCTGATTATCCCGTTCTGATCAGCAAGTTGTAGTTTGATTGGAAAGATGAGGCCCATGTCTCATTGCCGTCAGTAATTACTTTAATTGATATTGGCTTGTAATATTTCCGGTATATCTAAAGTTTGATCTGATGTTTCAGGGTCTTGCTTGATGGTCATGGTGGTCAGTAGGACGTTGATGGTTCGATATACTTTTTGGGTCTGTCCTTGATGTGTAGAGTGCACAGTAGTTTCCGGTCGACGTCAGTCCAAGGTACCTCACTTATTTCCATGTAATGTCTGTGTCGTTGACTCGGATGAAAGCTATCGACTATTGTACCACTGAAATAATGTCGCTTGACATGTTGAAGCACTGATGGTGATTTGATTTTCTCTGGCCCAGTCTGTAAGTAGGGCAGCCGCTTGTCTAATTTTCATACTGCACTCTTAGTTGAGTGGTTGTTAACACTGTGTACCAGGTCGTCTGGATATAGGTGGTTGTTTACGTCGCCGGAAGGTGAATATGCCATTGACGCTATAGTATATTATTGAAGGGTTATGAAATGGATGCGTCTGAGTGTTTCGAAATAAATGAGATTAATAAATTCTTGGACTTTTTAATGAAATTCTTCTGTAATGTTGGGAGTAGGAGTTTTGTCCTTCAATTTACGTCTATCAAAATGTATTTTCACAGAAACTATTTATTCATATGGTAATATTTGAATACATCATACAAATATGAACTCCTCTCAAGAATTACTATTAGATAATGCCATATTTCTTAACAACATAGGGGATATTATAATGGTCAACTAGGTTATTCTTTCGACAATATTGTGAGTTTGAAAGATTGAAGCTAAGTAGTCAACTAGTGTTTGAGCATTTCATTTGAGCTTTCTGGTTACCATATTTTAAGATATGAATAATGGATTTGGCGACTAGCTACAGAGGGAAATGACATTACGAGATTACTCCTCTCCAGATCTTCACACGCATAGCCGAGGCACGCCTTCATAAAAGTAATTGGCGACACTAAATTTCATTCCAATTGCATCATGCGTGGAGCGCCAACAATGTCTTCTACGCTCGTGTCCCATCCTTGTAGGGCATGAAGGATAAATTTGTAAATTGTACAAAAACAACTAACCTGTGCAGCAACTAGTGGCGCTGCAAGTAGTGGCGTGAAGCAATAAAGATGCTGCTGAACAATACTACACAAAATTGTCATAAATTAAATATTTTAATAAAAACAAACACACGTGTTCTCATGAATACTGGAATAACGTGGTTTTAGTACATTACATTACATGGCATTAAATTTATTTGACAAAAGTAAAATAAAATTATTCATTAATTACTTGCTGCAAGTCATGGGACGCAGTTTACAATACTGTTGAAATAACGATAAATACATTTCTTTTTTTGTTTCAACAATTTCATTTCATTTTAATACTTGCTTTCTTCTTCAAAAGGAAAAATAAATATTTCACGGAAAAGCAATTCATAGATAACAGAAGGGATTAGGATATCATGTAAAAACAAACGAATTCTTTCTTTCATTTCTAAGCATCATAACGTATCTCAAAGTTTCCTCCTCTATTTTAAAAAATACAAATCATTGTTAAGAAAAGTCACATGGCAGGCTAAAATCATGAAACATGACCAGGATATTTTGAACTCAAATAATAAAAGAAAAGCAATGTGGAATATAGTAAAAAAATCGACCAAATGAACTAAAATCCTTGTAGAGAATGTAGTTTTAAAAGATAACGATATAAATGTGAACGATCCGGCAAAAGTGATCAGGCAACAGTGAAAAGGTAACAGAAATGAAATTCAAAATTATCGACCAATTTCTCTTTTGTCAGTTTTTTCAAAAATATTAGTGAGATTTTTTTACGTACGCCATCCAGTTTCCTTGATCCTCGAGCAAATGCTGAGTTGGCCCCTTGTTTTGCTTCTGGACATAAATATTAACTTCTCCCCATAGCACGTCACACACAGTTTTTAACTGTTTTGACATAAATAAATAAATAAATATATAAATAAATAAATATATAAATAAATATATATGCCCTCTATGAGAATAGGCGTATTGTCACAAACACATATTTGCACTTTCCAGTCCGAGTCGAAAATATTTGATTTTGGATTTTCTCGGATTCCTGGGTATCTAACAAAACCATAGGCCGCCTCTTAGGGTCGAGGCTGCATACTTTTCTTTCATTTTCTGCGTGCATTGGAAATTAATAAACGGATATTTGCAACGCTGATTACGTCAATCCAAAAACGTGCATCACCACAATTCAAACTGGTTTCAAAAGATCCTGCGTGCTCATGGAGGGATAATTGAGTGTACTACTTCCTTCATCCACTAACAATACCAATGTAAGGCGTGAAGTAGTACGATTGTGAAGGCATGCGATAACATGTTTAGTTACCAGCGGTTTTACGAAACGATCCTCCCGTGAACCGATTCTGAAAGCATTTCACGTCAAACCCGTTATGTAGAAGAATTATAGTTTATAGAAATTTGAACTTTTGTATTTTTTTAACCGATTTCAAAAAAGTCAACAATTCGTTTGGTATACGTTTTCCTATATCTTCCGACACAATTTTCACAATTGTACCCCAATTTCAATGACGCTTTGCGTTAAGTATACAATATCGTGATGGTAGAATGGGACCAATGTAACGAGATTCTGATAAAGGAATCGAAGGATATCATAATAAATAATGGATTGGTGCAACACTAACGTGTAAATAATACTAGCAGCGACACCATACATAGGATATTTCCGAAAACCAATATTTGCCCATTGGGCTGGCTCAACATGAAACTGCAAATTTGAAAGGAATTTGAGAGTTCGGGCTACATAGCTCGTATATTTCCAAAATTTTGTAAAAAAAGGCTCAACATTTTCTTGTAAACCAAGGCTCAAGACTTTCTCATCTACTACGCACGTACGTTGTAAAGAGAAAGTATTGCACTGTACCTTAAGTCAGAGAAACTCGTACTGTCGAACACAGATATCGAAAAGTGGATAAATCTTGTTCCTATATGTAGTTACAGCAAATTACTTTCTTTCACACTTTGTGCAGTCAGAATCTACATATTGAGGATCCGCGATACCGAAAAATTGATTGATGCAAAAGTCAGTCTGTCAAAAATGTGTCATATTTTTTTTACTAAAATGTTTACTAGGAAAGAGAAAAGGAATGAATAATGAAAAGCACTTAAAGTAATGATAAATGATTTCAAAGGTGCATTTAATCTTTCAAATCATGAATAAATTTAATATTTAAATCATCATTACCAAATCGAATGCTAACTGTAGGTTCCAAATATAATTCTTTATTTTGAAGTGCTTTTTAAAAAGCAACAAAAAACAAAACAAAATAAGCATATTATTGGAACAATAGGGAGAGAAATAACACACGGATATTAAAGTGGGTGTCATGGAAAATGTCTCTTGGTTGCAGAAGAAATAGAGGAACGTTTTCGGAACCTAGAGGCACAGATGGAGAAGACGTTGGAAGCACATCTGGAAGCGCAGGTGAGATCATGAATGGCCTCTTACTTAAGATATTCAGTAAAACTTGCTGAATGCGGAACGTGTATAATGCGGAAATCTGTGTAATGTGAAAATAAATAGCGATCCTGCCAGACATAAAATTTACAGTATTACATTGCATAAGGCGGAATTTTTTTAATATGAAAAAATACTTGTTTCTTATAATTCCGCATTGAACAATTTTTACTCTATTAGTATTGATATCATACCAATGTCATGATATTTCACATCATATGATATTTCTGCTATGAGAACCTACGTTATTTAATAAGAGGTCCGATACTAACTTCTCCGACTCTCGTCGATTAAATTGAAATTTTTTTTCTGAACAAAAATTATAACACAGAATGTAATCGTTTGGGCCTGCGAACTCGTTATTGCTAAAACCAAGACTTTTTTAAAATATTTATTCTAAATGTGGTTACAGTAAGATCTCACTCATCATCGTTAATTAAAAATGTGTGACTATGCATGCAAAAATTCAAATTAATTTATATGTTTTGGGAATCGAATTTTATCGTCTGCGTAAGTAGAACTTGAGTCACTTCAGACGTGAAGCACACGAGAATGCGGACGAAATTATGAAACTGCTTGCTGCACAGTCACAAAGTTATGCTTGCTCATTGATAAAATACCAACAGATGTTCTTGTATCCCCAGCGCCGCGCTGACGGCCTCTGATCGAGGATATTGAAAGTTTTCTTACCCTTCATAACTGAAATCTTTTGAGAATCTTGAAGTTAAAATAACAAAATTCAAGAAGAAAAAGCCTTTTCCGAATTTCAAGTTAAATAAAGAAAATTCAAGTTGATGAATATAATATGGACATTGTGATTTTTTCTGGAAACTATTTTACATTTTTAAACAAAAGAGTACAATTTATATTTTAAAAATAGAAAGAAAATATCCGCACCAAAATTTCAATAACGTTATTATACTCGTGGAATGCTGCAAGATATGATTTAGAAAGCAGTGTAGAAAATTGAGTGTTGTGTCTTCGAACCTCTGAAATCAGATGCATCACGATATAAGTCATGAGTGATTCTCTATTATTAAATCGTTATGACATTCTCGCCAACGGAAACCAATAATATAATCCTTGGCGAGAAAGCTTTCCAGCTCATTAGGCCACATCGTCTATCTGGGCTCTCGTTCCTGTACAGGGTGCTCACTTTCTGAAAAAAGGAAAGGAATTTCATTACTCTGAAAAAGCAGGAAAAATGAAGAAACTTGTTGAAGAATTTTTAGAACGCAGGGACAGTTTTGAGACTGTTAGATAACCAGAAATTATTTCTCAAAAAAATATCCCAGCAAAAAAGTGTGACTCAGATTTTATTTGTTGAAGATTTATTTTTAACTCGCCGTGCGCGAAACAGGGTTTCTCACGCTTGTTTTACGTGTGCAAAACAGCTAATTTTTTCACAGTGTGCAAAACATCGCGAAGCGTGTAGAAAACATCTGTAACGATTCACAATTGCCTTTCGTCTTGACGATGTCTTTGTTCATTATTTTCAAACAATAGTGTTACGACACTGAGTGGAATCCATTTACTTTTGTACAAGTAAGGCATTTCTAGATATTTGATACTTAATTTATATTCCTTTACTTGATGCACTGTGTTTGGCTCACGGCGTATTAAAATAGTATACGCAACACGGGCGCGATGTGATTCCCGCACTCGGCTCTTTGTCGTCCGAGCTAGGCTCGAACTACAAACTCGACTCGTACGGGAATCACTTGTTTCGCGCCCTTGTTATGTAAACTAAAATTTTCATTTGTACTTTACAATAGTGAAAGGAGAGAGCTGCCAAATTAGAATGAAGCTTGCTTTAATATTTTTTTTTACCTGTGGAACTCTCTAGAAAAATCATCAGCAGGAAAAATGCAATTAAAAACCGTGAAATGTCAATGAAATGCTTGGAGGAACAGCGTGTGAAGCGCGTTGTTTGTTGCGGCAGGTGGGGCGCGGTCTGCGCGAGCTGAAGGCGCTGCTGCTGGGTGTGGAGGAGCGGCTGCAGGAGCAGGACGCGGCGGGGCGGCGCGCCGTGCGGCGGCTGGCGGCGGCGGCCCTACGCTGCGACGCGCGCTCCCGTACCCGCGGCCCGGGCCCAGGCGGCGACGCCAAGTGAGGGCGGCTCCTCCTCCGCCTCAGACTGCCTCGCCTCTTGATTCTTCTCCTCATCATTCTTTCTCCCCCTCTTCCTCTCCTTTTCATCCTTCTCCTCCACTTCTTTCTACTCCTTCTTCTCATCCTGCTTCTCCTCATCTACCTTATTTTCCTAATCATCCTCTTCCACCTCCTCTCCTTTCTCCCTCCCTGCTTTCCCACTTCCCACCTTTCTCTCCTTCCTTATTTTCTACCTCGCCCTTCTCTCTTTCATCCCATTCATCCTTCTCTTCCTTCCCCTCCCCGCTTTTCTCTCCCTCTTCACTTTCTCTCCCTTCTCATCCTCCTTCTCTCCCTCATTCTTCTTCACTCCCCACTCCGCTTTCTCTTCCACTCACTTCTTCACTCACTCCTCCTCGTTCTGATTCTCTCCGTCTTCTTTTTCTTTGATGCCGTTACAGTTCAGGTCTGTTTCTAGCTGCACGTGTCTTAACCCACCCTACTGGTACTACTAACTTTTGATGTAATGGTGAGTCACTGAATTGGGAAAGCAATCGCCTACAAATAAGGTATGGGGAAAGCCGAGAATGGGAATCGGGGCAGCATGGGATAGCTTGAAGGCGTTTTCGTTGCTCCTACTTCGATCTAGAATTCTTGAAACAACAGGAAACTCATAAACGACCTTTGGACTCACGTAGAACGTAGTTCCTATAAACGCACAATTTTTTCCAAACACTTCAATAACTTACTGTCAGTTTTGAAAACTAACCTTCAAGTCGGCTCTAATAACGATCGACAAATACTAGCTTCAGCCATCATTTTCATAAAATCTTGTCTCCGTACCCGGAATCCAGACGAGAATAATACAAAAATTAGGTGGAGATGTAACAGTACATGTTAGAAAATAAAAACTCAAAATTATTCACACTTTATCCCCAGTCTATTTCACGAACTGAATTTTTGTTCGTTGAGGTTCTGGAAAATGCCCAGTTATTTTAATAATATTACTTTATTGGTCACCTAAAAGCAATCACAATTGAAAGAATGACTTTTGGCAATATAAAACCAATACGGCAGTATTATCATAATGGGTAACTTTAATTGTGTTTTCGAAAAAATGAGAACAACGGTCTATGATTTCTTATCTATTTTTAACTCCCTGAACTTGCAGGTCTAGAGAGATAGTCAAACTCATACTCTTCAAGCGATGAACGTTAGATTTATGAAATCATTGTTTCAGATCGCCTTAAAGCAGTTTATTAAAGGACAGAAATCGGCTCTGAGAATATCGAGACATGATTTCTTCTACTTACTGTGTTCACTCATATGCCCTAGATATCATCATAAACTTATTTCTGAAAGATATTTTAAATCATTTCAACCCAACGTATTTTCTTGGTGACGGTCTCCGAGCCCCACGTGATGTTATTTAACGTACAGGTAATCGACACCTTGTTTTGTCTTATTTTTCTCTGAGCGTCGGTTTGGTATTTTTCTCTGAGCATCGGTACATTTTTAATCACCTCAGGTATGTGAGGAATTATCTCTGGTTTCTATCTAATGTCCTTTTTCCCCTTCAGGAGGGACTGACGTCGAGTTATGCGCAGAAGTTATTCTTTCTTTACGGTGATGAGGTTGATTCGAATGTTTTTGTTTCCATAGTTAGTTCACTGTTGTTGTTTTTAATCTTCTTTGTAGAAGACTAGCTTGCTAGTAGTACTTCTCTGTTCCCACCTGGACTTCACATATGTCGTTCTTCAAGCCACTATGCAGTCGTCAGCTCGTTTTTGCCAGATGTTCAGAGACCTCAACATCTGTCGCGGTCCTTGTTGACGCGGGTGATGTCAAAGCCGGTATGGATTATGCTTATTAGAACACTTTTCAACGGAGGTTTGCTCCTATATCCTACTGTCAGAGGAGGCGTCTGTGTCTCTAATAACTCGAGTTCTGAGTTCTTCAGTTGATTGTTAAGTTGGTTCTTCCACCACCTCTCTGGGGACCAGTACAGCTGATTAACTGACACCATCTCGATAAACCTTATCCGAATTTATCTTCCAGTCGCCTTATGCAGACCCCCATGACACAGCTGTTCATTGAGATGTAGTCTAAATGGATTGTTAACACACTCTTAGAATACCATAAGTCGATTTAATAGGAATGTGAAGGATGAGAGTGGATTTGGGTGTGAAAGATTTCGATTTTCCACGCGAAGTCTGTATGACACCCCATACGCCACACATTATTATTATTATTATTATTATTATTATTATTATTATTATTATTATTATTATTATTGTAATCATCCTGCGCCGGCGATCTGGCATTGGTTCATACTTGGTATTTCTACGAAGCATCTGCAATAGACAGGGAAAACTACATATATTAACATACGTTGTTCCTCCCTTTGCGCAGGAGTTCTAATTCGGTTCGCTCCACGAAGAACGAAATAGAACGCCGCCACCCATTCGGTGCATCCCGGCGCTAGGTTTGCACGGCGCGGCAGTCGAGACCCGCTTACAGTGGTGTCCCGAAGAGTGCCATATCCCTGCCCTGCCTGCAAAATCTTAATAAAAAGTACCGCTAGTATCTCGTAATGAGCAGAGCAAAACATTTTCATACATTTAAATTAGTTTTTCTCCAGATTTTCAAGATTATGAATGATTTTATCCCGATTGTAGATTTATGGATGATGATATTATCCCATTAACTAGGATTGTAAACGAGAATTGAATTTTGTGACAAAAACCTGATTAACTTACTAGCACCCAATATCCCATTACCCTTTAAGACCATGTGACGTTAGAAATAAACATAATTATCAAGTAACATACAAATATTATTACTTTAAAATTAGCAGATGTGGTCTAACTGTACTTTGTGTACCCCAAGCGATCTGCGGTAGACTTATAGTGGGAACGTGAGCAGTACTTTGAGAAGATTTCGAGAAGTTATTAATTTCTATACTGAAAAGTCTGAACGCACAGTGTATTATTAAGATTTTATTAGTATCAATGTATTGACATACATTCTTAGTATACTATTATTAATAGATTATGTAATTTAGTCTCTTATTCATTCTTGTAATGATTTTGTTATTTAAAAAAATGTTTTCAGTAAAATAGAGTTTACTAGATAATGTTGAAGTAATAATATGTTCCATACATTTGAACATATTTCAATGCTGAGCTACATTAAACATTTAGTTGTGTGTGAGAGATGCAATCTTTAAAAATATGTAAAGAGTTATTTCGCTACAAATCCCATCTTTTTGTGTAATCGAATTGAATAGTGACCTCAGGGATCCCAAAAATTCTGAAGTATCTTCCTTTCACTTCTAGGCTGTCCGGGTGACCCTGCGTCGTTGGCAGATAGGCCGACCTTTCGCCTGTCATGTCGCAGGCTTCTTCAGGGTACTGAGGGAAGAAGCCTGCGACATGACAGGCGAAACGTCGGCCTATCTGCCAACGACGCGGCGTCACCCGGACAGCCTAGAAGTAATGGACTCGAGCCGCGGAAACCTACGTGTATATCTTCCTTTCAACTGATCCTCAAAATTTGAGATCATCTGTAATGAAACTTGAAGGCAAACACAGTTTGATGTGTTCATGCGCAGGGAATACCAATGGAAAGGCATGCCCTCCTCCTTCTCCTACCCTAATTCTCCTTCTTCTTCTTCCCTCCTCATATTCTTCTCCTTTCTCTCCGCCTCCGCCTTTTATTTTTGTTTCGTCTCCTTCTCAATGCTCTTCTTCTCTTTCTCCCTCTCGGTACTTTTTCTTCTCCTTTCTTCGTGAATGAAATTCCTTCAATTGTACCTATTGTCTTGTAACGCCATTAAATATCGTTGAAATATACTTTTAAATTTACTTAATTAATCAATACAAAAGCAAAGGCCGTTAAAGTTCTTTCACCGAAAGATCCCAAGATGTAATTAATTTGCATGTAATGAAGTTGAATAAAGACCTTTAGAATCGAGATAGCTGACAAAATCAATTATTAAAAGTCTTCCTTTAAAATCGCTGCTTAAAACGTTGAACATATTAATATATTGTCCGATTTAAATATAGTGGCTTGTGACACGTCAGTTGTGACGAGTTTATCCAATCGGGAGCTTCAAAACCAAAAATTAAAGTCGTAACTAAGCTCCTAATCGAATAATCGCGTCCAGTTTACGATGCCACAATATTAAAATCGGACAATAAATGATGAGATCAAAGGCATTTTTGTGTCACGCGCGTGCGCAGGCGAGCGTGGGCTGAGGTGGCGCAGGCGGCGGCGGGGGCGACGGCGAGCGGCGACGAAAACGCGGCGCTGACGCAGCCCGACGCCCAGCTCGCGCCGGCGGCGGAGGGCGCGGAGGCGGCGGAGGAAGAAGAAGAAGTGGGGGCGCAGGGGGCGGCGGACGCCCCGCCCGACGCGCCCCGCGCCGACGAGATCAACCGCCTCAACTCCACCATCTCCACACTCGCCGACGGCCGGCGCGTCTTCACCTACTTCTGGCGCGTGCACGACATCACAGCCAAGATGTCGCACTGGGAGCCCAACCGCTCCGTGCGCTCGCCCAGCTTCTACATTTCGCAGGTGCGCACTGGTCCCACAAGCGCTCTCTCTCTCTCTCTCTCTCTCTCACTCTCTCTCACTCTCTCGCACTCTCTCTCACTCTCTCTCACTCTCTCTCTCACTCTCTCTCACTCTCTCGCTCTCTCTCGCTCTCTCTCGCTCTCTCTCGCTCTCACTCTCACGCATACACGCACGCACAAATTGTCAGACCAAAGACTTTACACATGATTATCTATGGATGTCCTCGTGCAGAATCCGAAGCCAGTATTGCGCCACCACCCTCCAGTTTGCTTTTAAATCGGGAAAACACATGCGAATACTAGATGTTAATGTCTTGTAGCATTACACCCTACAGAAGCTAAAAGTAGTCAGACCCAAGACTTGACATATGTTTCTCTACGTATGTCTACCCGTTGAATTCGATTGTGAAACCACAATTTCGCCACCACTTTCCAGATTTTTCAAATCGCGTGTTTTTTTCGCGCTTAAAAAAGTGAATTCGCATTCGAATTCAGAACGTCTTCAAAGCTTTGGGTCTGACAACAATACTCGAAGAAAAAAATACAATTTCAAATACATACTCTTGCCAGCTGCCATCTATCGCCGCCCAAAGGAAAATTAAAAAAACTTTCTTAATTTTTCAGTTTCCTAATAATAGAACATTATTAGAATATTATTTGATGTATATTAAAGAACAAAAAAATCGTGCTAAATTGATATTTTCTTTGAAAAATTTGCAGCCGTTTTTAAGAAAATAGCGCTTAAGCCCTACTGTAAATTCAAAATTTGAAGCTCTTTTCCACAGAAAATGTTTGAGTTTTCGAAAAAGTTAATTTGAAATCATTTGAAGCACTTTAACTTGCAAATACAATACTGTTTACAAATTGCTGAAAATGTGCATATTAACGGCGTGAGAGATATAACAAAAAAAATACATTTGTGCAATTTTTGAAAAAGAACAAAAAATACACTGAAATCAATTTTATGACATATTAGAGTGCCATTAGCACTATAAAAGTTCCAAAAGTTTCAAGAAAAAATGTGTAGCTGTTTTTGGTGGCTTTTGAGCGTTTTTAAAATTTTGAACTAGTTTTTACAGAAAACAGTTTAGTTTTCGAGAAACTTTACATGGCATTATTTAAAACATATATACTCATGAATACAATAATGTGAACAAATTGCCACTAATATAAATATCAACAACGTGAAGGAGAAGTCTAAAAACTACATTTTTGTAATTTTTGAAAAGAAAAGAAAAGAGCAAGATGGCGTTGATATCATTTTATAGAATGCATTTAAAACTATCCCTATCAAAAGTTAAAAACAATTGGAGACTTTTTTTAGAAAATCTTAAAATCTTGAAAGAAATGTGAATGACTTTAGTGAGAGAACTCACTATGAAAAACAAATATTATTTGAAAGAAAAATCTCTTTCTTCAATTGTGAAGTTGTAGGGAGAAGCCCGAAAAACTTTGATATTCTCTAAAATTAAGAGTTTAACCTAAGGACCGGGTATATGCCACTTTTTCTAAGTGTAAGTTACTCTATTCTTACAAGAAATTTAAAGAAAACAATTTTAAGCCATTTTTGAGAAAACTTTGAAAATGTTCGGGAGTTCCATGTAAATTACCCCTAAATTTTAAACACTTTTTTTTTCAAAATCTCAAAGCTTCGACTTGAGCCACTCGGACAGGGGTTTCTTCAATTTGGAAAAAAAATCCTACGTATGATTTAGGCTCTAGTGGTGTTCACAGACGGACGACGGACAGAAAGACGGACAGACGGACGTTTTGAAAAAAACAACAACAAAAAACAACAACCAAAAACAACAAACCTTTCAATGGCAAGGGACCGCAAAACGTGTATTTTCGTTGAAATCTCGACGTCGATTTTCCGCAGCATTACATAGCTTTCCCTATACAATGTATAATACTCCGTATATACGTACATATACATGAAAGTAAAAATTGAAGGGTGGTGGCGCAATTCTGGCTTCAGATTCGGATTCAGCGCATCGACGTACATACAGAAACACGCGTCTTACGGGTCTGACTACTTTTTTGTGTGTGCCTGTGTTATTATCAGCTGGATCATTCAAGCTACCGATTGCGTACCTGCGTCCCAGCTGATTGAATATCTTAAGTCTCTATATTTAAATATTTTTTGCGCCCTCACTCTCCAAAATAATATAAAAAATAAAAAGAACAGAAGCTTCTGGCGGCTCGTGCCTTAAGACCCATTCCCCATGAAAAAGTTAGGCGTGGACAAAACATGAAGATACCATCCACAATGACATTGCAAGTAAACGTGAATATAGCTACCCAACGATATCGATACAATCAATAATTGCTTCGTAAATTCTATATATATATAATCGAACGACATTAAGGAACACGAATGCGATCGTGCTTTGATGATAAGTATTTCGTATATCATAAGCATCTCGGAAGATCCTACGAAACGTTTCTTGAAAAATGATGAATGGAAATTTATACTGTTACGAACTACATCTAACGAAAACGCTAGATGATTTTTGGATTTTGTAACAGCACACGGTCGTGTGCTGTTCTCCGGTCACATAACAGTGGATGTGCAAGCTTGCAACTTGCTAACTTTAACGGTTACGTCATGTTTTATTTTCACGTTAAGACTCGAGTTCTGAATGGTTCCACATGACAACAAACTTTTGATTTTACAACACGTGTATGTACGACAAATTTCATTGTAAATGAGGATTTAGAAATGAAATTTCGAAGATATAGGAAATATGTAAATATGTAAACGGTAAAATAATATTTAAAACCTATTTAATTAATCATGGAAATTTATTACATTCCACTGTGACTATATCTTTATTGGAATTCGGAAATGGATTAATTGGCTTCTGGAAAATATGAAATAAATATTCTTCCTTAAAGTTAAACCAAATGTCTAGAAATATTGCTTCGATAGTTATTCCAGATCTAATGGTTGGTAATGTTGTATAATTATTCATCTTCAATTTCAATTTGTTATCTAGAAACTTTGTAGCCGTTTTACAAAAGTTCTCATGTCCAATTTCAGAGAAATTGAAATTTTTGTTGAAATCAACAATAATATTACAGATGTTCTCCATTCTTAGTAAATACTATAGAAGATTTAAAATACTGAAGTTATTTTTAATTTTTGAAAAGCTCCCGTGGCAAGCTGCGCTTTCTGTGCCTTCCGACTCGCTCTAAATCCCTTGCGCTTTGAACTCTACTTTTAGGCGATTATTACTGCCAATTGTTTTCACTGCGGTGCTTTACGTTGCCGAAGGCCGCCGTCACAGGTAACTCTTGAAAATATACTGAATTTCAATTCTCTAGTCCTATGAGACGTATCGAGTAGCGGTTTTTACTGCTATGTACTAGGTCTTACGAAGGCAAATACAAAAGATCATGAACACTTTTCATCTCCAACGCGTAGTTTATCCTGAAAATAACCGCCCCGTTACTTGTTACGCTCCTATAACTTAAGTCTCGACTTATTTTGTAAATTATTTTACAACACAATGCCAGATAACATTAAATGATTAAAATATTCACACGCTTAAGCGGTACTTAAAATATGTTTTCTGCATAACTGTTTCTGTACACTTAGAGACTATGCTAAGCGTGAAAAAGGAAAAGAATATAAATTTTAACAATATTATTTGCCCTTTTAACCATATTATTTTTGTAATGTATTAGTTACCGTTTAGACTGAATGATTATAAATAGTATGTCTTTTTAAAAGTGTGACGATGGTGCGTAGTGTGTTAGCTTGTGAAGATTGGGAGTGGAGTCTAAATTTTTTTATTGGTGAGAAAATGTAAGGTTATAGGGAATGTAATGATGAAGTAGAGGAAGTTATTGCTTCGCGACTCGGGGATTTCTAATGCACTCGTCGTTTTACCTATGACAAACGTGCGCAGATGTAAACGATTCCATTCCATGTACCGCCATTAAACACACTATTTTATATTAGGTCATTGAGCTAACTGTCGGTGGTCACTTGTATTTAGTTTAGGGATTACCATATGTTTTCTTAAAGATATAGCAGTGCAATGTTTATCTTCATTGTTAAATGTGTTAAGGAGGCCGCGCCGGTGCCAAAATGATCTGTACCTCTATATGTAAAGAAATGTTTTCGGAGTGCAGATAAATGAGGCCTGTGTTTGGCGCAGGGCGGCTACCGTATGTACCTGCGCCTCTTCCCACGGCGCGCGGGCGTCAACGTGTACGTGCATGCGGGCCTCACACCAGGCGCCTTCGACCACTTGCTCAGCTGGCCCTTCGCCCTCAAGGTAAGCAGCTCCCCGTCCACACGCTTCCCCACTCCCAAGAGCCTTGGATTGCCAACTCCCGCGCCCTCCCGTACTTCCGCCCTTCCTTCACCCCGATCATTCTCACAAACTGCCTACGTCCTGACTCCTACACTCCCCATGCCCCTACCCTTACATTCCATACGTACCCTACTCTTGCAATCCCTACGTCCCTGCTTACACACGTTTCCTACGTCCTCACTCTTACACTCCTTATGTCCCCACCATTACACTTCCTGACTCTTCACTCCCCATTTTCCCGGTCTTTCTCATACCCCTTACACTCCCACACTCTCGGGTTCTATGTGTCAGAAAATAGATAACGAATCCTGCTGGTATGGGCGCGGCCTGGGAGTTTTTAACAAAAGTATTTACAAAATTCCACATTTCGTGCCTTAAATCTGTTCAATTCCTATCTGAGAAGTAATTCCTTTGCCAGTAGTATTGTAGATCCTTTATTAATTACGTGTTTATTATTTATGGGTAGGTCGGTAAAACAAACGAAATTATAAAAACAATTGTATGAGATTTTTAACATGCGATTAAACCTATGAGTTTTAAAAATATACAACTATTTTCAAAACACAGACTCCTTTGGTTCGAATAAGGGCCTGCGCTGACGCGTGCGTGTGGTCCGTTGCAGCTGCGCATGAGCGTGCTGGAGCAGGCGGCCGGCGCGTCGGAGGACGTGGCGTCGCGAGTGTGGGACGCCGCCGAGCTGTGCTCGGGCTTCAACTGGCAGCGGCCGCTCCAGGGCGACAGCTACGAGTGCGTGGGGCTGGGGCTGCCGCACAACCTGCTGCGCTCGCGCCGCTACGTCTGGCGGGATTCCGTGCTCATCAAGCTCTCGGTCTTCTTGTAAAACCTTCTGCGCAGTGTACAAGCGCAGTGTAACAGCGCGCTGCAGTCCGAGTGGCGCACTTGAATTCCAGCTCCGCACGAAAATTCGAGTTCTACACTACATTTCTGGTTCCAGTCTATAATCCTAGCTCCGCACAGAATTTCTAGCTCCGCATTGCAAACCTAGTTGCGCGCTACAACCTTAGGTGCCCACTTCAATTCTAGCTGTGTATTTTAATCCTAGCTGCGCACTTCAATCCTGAATGTACACGTCTATTCTACCTGGGCGCTTCAGTCCTACCTGCGCAGTTCACTCATTGCTTCACACTTCAGTTCTAGCTGCGTACTTCAATCCTAACTGCGAACTTCAATTCTAACTGTACACATCAATTCTAGATGCACCCATCAATTCTAACTACGCACTTCAATTCTACTAGCGCTATTCAATTCTAGCAGCGCACTTCAATTCTAGCTGCGCACTTTACTTCTAGCTGTGCACTTTACTTCTAGCTGCACACTTCCCTTCTATATGCGCACTTCACTTCTAGCTGCGTACGTCAATTCTATCTGCGTACTTCAATTCTAGCCGCCGATTGTTCATGAGTTCTGTCCTCGATCGCATGGGGACCGCCACTACCTTCTTCCTTCATTTCATTTGTGTAGTATCTTGAACGCACTGCGAATGCGTTGCGCGTTATCACAGTGTTGTGGCCACCTCTACCCATGTCGGGGATCTATGGCTTATCTTTCAACATGAAAAGAAAACGGTATTCAGAAATTGCATTAGCTTGTCGGCACGCGTAGTGCATATACAATAATACAATGCAAGTACAATATTTATGATAGCATTTCGGTCCTTTCGTGCAGTTTTAATTCTCTTTACTCCAGCCTTTAAATGCCTATATCTTTTCTTTATAGTCCCGAGGATCGGGAAAATCGGAAAAGAAATCGTTTTCCGTGTTCCCAATGCCTTCTACACCGTAGAGGACACATTATGCCTACAGAACCAACGCACTAATGCGAGAAATCTCGCATGTGGAAACCTGACTTCTCCTTTAATAAATAGATCAATTCCACATAGAATTCGAGATTTTGTCCATCTTTGACAATCCTTACCAAGAAATGGAGGTACCCAGAAAAAAAAGTAACACAAAAATGCAATTGAAGATCCTGAAAGACCTTGCTTTGGAGTTTACGATGTGAGGAACATAACAAGAGAGCTCGGACCTACAAGTTCTAAGTGTATAAAATGTTCTGTTGTAATATATTCACAGTCGATTTTCAAGGAATCTGACCATTCATTGGGTCATGTCTTGCGGATTGCATTTACGCGTGTATGTTTTATCGGGTTATTAAGAGAGAAAGGGAACCGATGCGAGCATTTTTAGGGGGCTTCAGAAAAAGACGAGGACCAATAGGTGGGGTGAAAGAATTGAGGTTTTGTCGGGGAACACTGAATTTACGATCTACGCGTCGACAGACTAAACGTTAGACTGTGTCAAACAATGTGCCTGTCCCCCTGTGATAGCGGCAATCCAACATGCGCTGCAGTTATACGGGTGGCCTGTATTTTAGGCTGACAGAGGTAAGGGGAAATTAAGTCACAATCGCAGCACTAGGAGTCGTCAGAGAGTGTCATATAATAGAAGAAAGGCGCAATGGTAATAAAATTAATTATGACAGTGCTGATAAAGATGTAATCTTTTATTCTCCATTACAATAATTATGTTGATTATTTTAAAAAAAACTTATTTGTGAACGTGCCTTAACTTACTCGGCTTGAAGGGTCGCGGGTTCGAATCCTGCCTCGATCATAGACGCCGTATTCTGGTCTTCTCAACCTGAGAAGTGAATTTTATCTTCGTCACACAGCAACACAATTATACTGGGATATTGCAGGGAAAACTAACATTATAAACTTTCCTGACCGGGATTCGAATCCGGGGTCCTCTCAAGAAAAGTGAGCACGCTGACTAATGAGCTAAACCGCCAGACAAACTGATACATTGAAATTGTCAATTTCAGTGATGATGTGTAAAAAAATTATTCGCCCAACCTTCACCTATAATTCCCGAATTTGGTCCACGGATTCTTGACGAAATATTAAAAATCTATAAATGTTTCAAAATAAGATATTTAAAAAAAATGTACTAACTCCGTGATTTGTGCGTATTTCCTAATTTCATAAACATCTAGGAATTTAAACAATGTACTCTCCCTTGCAAGTGCATCTTTCTTTCACAATCTTTCTAAATGCATCTTTCTTTCACAATCTTTTGCTAACTTTTAACTCTAAATGCACTGGTCTCTAATGTACCTGCACTGGAACCTAAATGATAGGTACTGCAACAGAAAGTCTCTGGTTTGAAGAAAATTTCTTGAAATATAATGTAATTAAAAATTCTTAGTTTTATTTTTGCTTGTAGCAAGGTCAGCAGAAATTCGGGTTTCGCCTAAAAAACTTTTTTGTGTGGAAAAAGTAAGTTTTCCAAAGAAAGGGCACATGTATGATGTAAGAGAGACATGTGAGATCTTCGATGTCTCAATTTTTTATGCCGCTCCTGATTGGGTCTCAAATTGAACGTTAAACTCCCCCTTATTGGATCTCCATTGGAATCTGCTAGTACTGATTTGGGTTCCCGAATTTTCAATGGAAATTGCCTTTTCTTTCTTTCTATTTCAGCGAGCCTTGCCCTGGCTATTATCTCTGCTGGCATGCTGATTAGACGACCGTACTGTAGTGCCTAAATTTTACTTGGTATAATGCAGATTTTGATTCGTTTTACTTTATTATTGAAGGACGTACGATTAGACAGCCATCTGAAATATAGTGAAAAGAGAGAGAGAGAGAGAGATTTCCATCCATACGGAAATAAGCCTTCCAGTTAGTCTCGACTGTCCGACTTTACCGGCCAGCACTCGGTGTCCCCAGTGCCTGGGTCTAGTTTACTTTCCACGTTTGGGAGATAAGAGAGACATGTGACGATCTATTTCCTTCATCGTAACTAGCAAATTCCGCCCGCCTGAGCTTTTTTGATTCGTCACACATCTATAGAAACTAACGATTTTAAAGGAATGCTACAACCATTTTTGTCCTGGCCAGGAAGCAAATCCGGGAACGCACCACAGGAAGCTAGAACGCTGCCCATAAGCCACCTTAAGGCGTCAGGTAGTATTATATTTTGATAATAAAAGGCAGAGTAATGCAGAGAAGTTTGTTTTTTGTTACTGTCTAACAAATTTTCTATTATTATTATGGTGAATATGATTATTATGTAACCTATCAATAGGGTTGTATCTGACAAACTGTTTCCATTATTTATTATTTGCAGAAACTTAGATACATATTAACGTATATTGTACGTATATGTATTGAATTGAAATATTCGATCTTTAAGTATTAACGAACATTCTATTATGAAAATAATTATTATAACAGATTGATGAGCGTTCAATGGCGCTTGGACAGACAATGGCTCGTAGCTTCACCTTCTCAGAATCCGATGACACATGTTCTTTTTATTCATTTTTTTAATTTTTATTTATTTTTTATTTCTTTATTTTTATTTATTTTTTATTTCCTTATTTTTATTTATTCTTTATTTCTTTATATTTTTTATTTGTTTATTTTATTTTTTATTTTTATTCATTTTTGTTTATTTTTATTGATTTTATATGTATTTTTAAATTTATTTTTGGTTTTTATTTATTTTTATTTTTTTATTAATTTAACGTCAAAAACTGTTAAAAACTGTAGGTGACCTATTACGGGGAGAAGTGTATTCTGTGCACGTTTTCTCTAAATACTGAGGTCCCTACCTCAACCAATATACAAATTGAATTCTGAATACAGATGGAAATGAGTACTTTTGGCAAGAAGTGATAAGAAAAAGTGAGTGTAATCAAAACTATTTACAAAGGCAAATAAGATATATACTTTGGCTATTATCCCTCATAGTGCACTTCGTGGAGGAATCGTTGTCCTGCCGTAATGACATGGAGAACGATAATTTGAATAAATATACTTCCTACAGAACTCTAGAAGATGCGCACTGGCAGTGTAGTTCTCCACTGAAATTTTCGTTGAAGTTCTTATTAGCCATATTAACTAAAAAGTATTCATTATCTTAATTGTGTAAGTTGTAAAGAATTATAAATTAATGAAAAACACATTGAATTTCGGCATCTACCAAAACTATCAGAAATAATCAAGTTGACTGAGCATCACAACAGTAGACCCTTCTTCTACAAAGAAAATTCTGATCGTTACACTGCGCAAATTAATAAATAATGTATTCCATATTTACTCATATTTGTTATTATGTATTTATCATTAATATACCAGTATCACGAAATATTATGTATCTCAGATGCATGCATGTTCTGTTTAAAGTGTATATTTCATATGTTGAATTGTGATTATTTAAGCATTATGTATACTTTACGTATTTGAAATATAATTGTACCAATTCAGCAATTTCTTCATTGCTTCCGGATATTGATGAAATACGAACCTATTTTATTGTTCCAATTGCGTGGCAGAATTTTTTTCGTCTGCTGAAGGATCATTTTGCCCATTAATATCAATACGACCTGCATAAATAAGAAATGAATTGTGCTAATGTACTGTAACATGTAAGAGATAAAATTGGAAGTAGGAAAATGCTAAGTTCATTAACCAATACTTTTTAAAGCAAATGTGTATTTTATTTAAATCGCTCTGTAGAGCAACCTCGACAAACTCATTTTTATTTGAAATAGATTGAACAATATGATGCAGTATGTTAAACTTTTGCAAGTACTTAAACGAAAGTTTTTCTGCTGTATCATACTGCTATATATTTACTCCATTTTGCCTCGAGTGTGTGGTCAAAGATTGTAACGTGTCTCAGCAGTGACAAATTGTGAGGAAATTGGGTCACAGTGTATATGAATTGGTAGTGGGAATGGGAGAAACAGGAGGAAGTTCAGAGGAGGATGTAAGAGGGTTCGAAATGAGGGGTGGGGTGGAGAACGTAAGGAAGGTGAAAGGGATGGATTTTTGGCAGGAGACTACGTAGAACTGGAGTTGATATGTTGTACAAGCTTGTTACAGATTGCATGTTTTTCAGCAAGGTTTATGAATTGAATTGATGCATTTTTACGTGGCGAGACTCAGGCCATGAGGCCTGCTCTTCCATCTGACCACGCGAATTATGCTCCGATCACAAACTAGCTGAGAAAGGAGGTATTTCTTGGGCGAAGAAGCAAGCGATGTAATTTATCTCAGAGTCTTCATTTAGGTAATGATATTTTTCATGCTGTAAATCTACTAACAAGGGACAGCCGGCTTTACTTTCCTTACGAAGGAAGGGGTACGAAGAACTTTTCGACCTTAAAAATCCACGACTTCGATCGCGTTTGAATCCGCGAACTTGGGTATAACAGTCCGATACGCTAAGCGTTACTCCTTCGCCGCCGTGTATGTGTAGGGACCATGCCAAATGAAGAGTTTGCTGCGAGGAAATTAATTTCAAAAAGTGTTACATTTGTTTACCTGAGTTGCAGTTTTAATTGTTGGTTTGCGTATTTAATCTCGCTCGTTTTAATAGTGTTGTTCTGTTGTACCACAATGGGATGGAGATGGGTTGTTTCAGAAAGGAAAAATAACGAAAAATCGCGCTTAGAAACATCAGTTGATGCCCTGAGCCACCTATGCTGGTGAATTTTGAAGAAAAACATACCTTATTAGGTATCTTCCCTTAATACTTTAAATTTATGTTTTTATCATATGTGTACCTTAATTTTTACAAAATATTCAAAAAACAAATTTACCGGTGTAAATGAATTACGTGTAATAGACTGTGCATTGCAGAAGAAAGAAAAGATTCGAATTTACGAGTATGTTTATACATTGAATGTATCCTCCATAAATATAACACTATCCATTACTATTAAAGCAGAAATAGAATATTATGATGTAAATATTATCCCATAATTGAGTTCATATACAAAAAAATTAAGATTATATCAAAATTTATTGCAATAACGATAAACGGCTTATTCAATCTCATCACGCACTAGAAACATTTAGTCCAGTACATTTAGAAGAAGTGAAATTTCGCGAAATATTATGATATCCATCACCCACAGTTGTTCTGAATGCTTCAAATAATCTGTAAATGGACTTCTGAATCAAATAAAGGAATAAATGCGATATAAAACCGGATCGATTATTGCCTACTCTTTGAAATACATGTTCGCAAAACAAACGTTTTGCATTTCGAAATTGTAATTGAGTGACAAGATCATTTGTCACTGACCTCTTCAAATAATTCCCATCAAGCTCTTCTTCGTGAAGTTGACAGCTACATTGACAGCTGTCAGTTCTCTGGCAGATAACGACCACGGGAAAACAGTAACTCTTAAGGTTCAACTCTGAAGACGCTATGAAACTCCAAACAAGCAGCGGAATTAAATCTAAAATAAATGCTACAAGATGTTCGCAAGTAATTTTACCATAGTGCGCGGTTCCTCAAAGTCATTTTGTTATATTAAATGTGCAGCCTCACCTAAGTTATAAGAATGTTTACACACAATTCATTAAGGAAATTGTCGCCATTACTCTTTCAGTCCTGATTTATGACAAAGGAATTGTATTATTTTGCCATAATTATATGTTTACCTTTTTCGGAACTAACATTGTGTCAAAGTCAAAGCTCTCTTAATAGCGATTAGTGAATAAATAATTCCAGCCAGTAAATTCTTGAAGCAGTTGTCTCTCCCTGTGCATCGCCTTTCATGAACGGCGACCGGCTGCGCAGTTGTTAGCTACTGTTGTTTTAACTTTTGTGAGCTGTGGCCAGTTCAATTAGTGGCAGGAAAGTAGATATGTAGCAGATTTTCTGGAACTTCTTCTAGCATTATCCGACACCCTTTTTATTATTTACCCTTCCCAATTATTCTATTTAATCGTGTTTCCCTTGAGCCGTAGGATTGGTCTAGCCAGCCTTCACAGGTTTTTCTTTCCCCACCCGCGGCAAA